TCTTTTTATAAGGATACCAGTCATATTGGGTTAAAAACCCACCCGTTCTGGTTACCTAGTGCCACTCTGACAAGAATACACCACAAATGGAATGGCCTTAACAAACAGGAGTTTATTCTGTTACAGTTTGGAGGCTTTAAGTCCAAGTTCAAAGTTCCAGGCTCCAGCAGCTGTGTGAAAGCCCCTTGACCTTGGGCTTCATCTTTGCCTCTTGCTCCTGCTCCATTGAAGCTAGAGGCATCTCTTCACTCAGGCAGCTAATGTCTGCTGAGGCTAACAAACCCAAGGTCGACAAATAAAAAGGCACATACCAAACCACACAGCAGGCCATTAATTCAAGTCCATTGTAAGTCCCAAGGTCGGCAGAGCACAGCAGGCTGCTGAACAACGACACAGCTACATGCAAGGTCCAAGTGTGCCATAAGCTAGAGACCATTCCCAAGGCTTTTTCTTATATACAGGAAGCAGACCACATTCCCAAAGGCAGCTACTCAGGTGCTTGTGGTAGATCTCACCATGGAGTTGATTGCAGTCTCATCATGGGGAATAACTACCACCAGCTGCCCAGTGACTCAACCAGGCCCAGCCAAGTTGGCATACAAACTGAACTACTGCACCACCCTACTCCATTATGACCTCGTTTTAACTAATTTCATCTTCAATAACACTACTTCCAAAGATGATCAATTCTGAGGTTTCAGGAAGGGTATGAATTTGGTGGGGATACTATTCAACCCAGTGTAGTTAGTTAAATCTTCCTCACAAGAACCAAAGAAGCTCTACTAGGCAGGAAGTTTGTCTTATTCACCACTTTGCCTCTGGTATCTAGCACAGACTCTGGCACAAAGAGGTTCTCTATGACTATTTTGTAAGTCAATGATTTAATCTATTGAGCATCTCCATTCAGTTTTAGAGAAAATGAAACTGAGTTAAACTGTTTAAAGGCACATAATTAGTGTGTGGCCTAGTTTGTTTACAATTTTAATCACAAAATTCCCTCAAGGACAGCAAAATGTGGGCCAGAGTAAGACTTAAGAGACTAATAAACATGACTTCACAATGGCAGAATGGAAGGTGGATTCTCACTTATTTTCAGGATGCAGTGTATTACAGTGCATAAGAAACAGACAGGCTTTGGAGCCTCAAATATCTGGGTTTGTATCCCAGCCTTAGCAGTTAATAGGACCCTGACCTTGACAAATCACAATCTCTCCGAGGCTAACTTTTCTTCTCTGTGAAGTGGAATTACTCACCATTTGGTCCCCAGTACCCTAGGGATGAACCTAATAATGAGCCAATGAAATGAATAAATTCCTACTTCTCTTATTTCCTGTGGGAACTAAATGAAATGTCACACAGAAAGCACCTAGTATTGTTCATGGATAGAGTAGACACTTGTTCAGAAAGCATCTCTTTGTTTCTCCTTGCTGACCTACCTCACCTTTCTTTAGGTGCTTGATCATGTGCAATGAATGCCCTACTGACTGGATGAGCAAAGAGGGGAGTTTTGAGAGCAAAGGAAAGGGATACTCTCACACTGACGACTTCCCAGGCATGATCTCCCATCAGTTAATAAACAACAAAATGTGTTAAATCTCTGTCTGGTAATGAATTAGCTACTGTGTGAAGAAACAAATTTATAAGGCTATGTCCTTAGGTGAAGCTCTGGTGATGCAGCTGTTAAAGCATTTGGCTGCTAATCAAAACGTTGGTGATTCAAACTCACCAGCCATTCTTCTGGAGGCTTTCCAACCTTGGAAACCCTATAGGGAAATTGTACTCTATCCTATAGGATCTCTATGATTTGCAGTGGCAGTTGGTTTTGGTTGATCCTTATTGAAGAATTTTATCTTTTAATGGGAGAAACCAAACTAACAAACATGAAACGATTATCAGCCAAGAAAGTTTGAGGTCGTTGGCCTGATGGAGAGCAGGACTAGGCAAGAAATAATTCACTTTATTCTCCCTCTTTCTGTACATACTGTATTCATGTTAAATGCTCAGAGGTGTGTGCATGTGGGTATATGTAGCAGGCTCAACTTAAGAAACCTTGCGATAACCATAGCATCTCTAGAATGGGAGGCTTTGTGTGGACCTTAGACCTCAGTAGCCCCACCCATGGCTGATGGGACCAGGAATTGATATCTACTCAAAGTCAGCCAACCTGCAGACCTACCAGAGCCTGGGGACTACTAGGCCTGGGGTGGTGAGTCAAGTCCATCACATCCTTTTTCTTGTGGATTTAAATCAAGATGTACTGTCATGGAAGGAGCTAGTGCACTAAGAGGGACCACAAAAGCAAGAACACATGGAGCCTAGGAGAGGGCCAAGAGAGTAGCAGAGGGCTTCAGGGTTGAAATGGGGCTATAGCTGACCCTCTAGTCTAAGGTAGACTAAATTTTCTCTGTTCTGAGAATCTGTGGCATCAATGGGTTCCTGACTTGGAGGGAACTAGGCAGAGTGAGGGTAACTCCTATCTATATACCTTCCTCATCCCAAAATTAGGCCAGGGTGGGGAAGGGGAAGGAGGGATTCTGTGACAGAATCCACCTATTTTCAAAGGTGAAAAAAAAAAAAAAGCCAGGGGTGGATTTTGTTAGGCTTTATTTAAATAATCATTATTTGTGATGTGGATAAGCATAATTCATTTTGTTTTAATAGAAATGAAATAGAAATGATTCCCAAAAGTTTTTTTTTTTTGTTTTGTTTTGTTTAGTTAACCAAGTATTTATTAAGCAGTGGTTTAGAAACTGGGAAGGATGGAACAATGTAGAAGTGGTGAAATTATCATTGTGATCTTTGATAAGGTTCTAATTTAATGGGACAATAGCCCAACACAAACCAATAACCATGCAAAGTAAGTTATGAAATATGTGCTACAAGGGATGGTCCAGACCACTGAAGGAGCACAGAACAGAGAATGGTGGTTTGACTGGGGCAACCAAGGTCAATTTGACAGAGAAGTAGGTTTTGAGATCCAGCTTCAGAGATGAGTAAGAATTTAGACATAAGAATCTGGTGAAACCCCAGAGACTATGGCCCCTATTTACCCTTCAGGCCTGTAATTGAACTTACTCCCATGACCTTCAGCCAAACAATAGATAGGCATATAGGGTGACTGTCTACAACAAGTAGATACATCCCTTAGAATGATCAATCATGGGAGAACAGAGGGCAGTATTTGCACAAGGAGATAGCTCAGGGGGCAGGAATGCATAGGAAAGAAGGACACAAGGAAGAGGTAATTACAGGGAGGACGTGGGAAGGGAGCTATTACATTGTGGGGATTGCAGTCAATGTCATTAAACAAAATGTGTGTGAATTGCTGTACAGAAAATGAATATGCTCTGTAAACTTTCACCCAAATCATAAAATCAATAAATAAATATTAATTCAAATAAAAGGGGAAGGAAATTGGAATTATAACTGTAAAAGCTATACATCTTTAAGATTTTAATAGTACCAGTGATGGTGAGACAGACTTAATGGTAAAGTGGTGTTGCTTCTTGCTATCGAGTTGAGCACATGTGTGCAGAGTAGAATCGCTTCACAGTGTTTTCAGTGTTGTGACCTTTTGGAACTAGATGGTCAGACCTTTCTTCTGAGGCACTTTTGGGCAGTTTAGAACTGTCAACTGGTGAAATAGTGAATGACATTTGTGTGTGTATGTGTACGTACATGTGTGTGTGTAACAGGGAGAGAAAAACAGAAAACCATAGAGAGAAGTAGGAAGAGAAGGGGATGAGTATATGAAGGTTTTAAATTAAAGATTAAGTGAGTTTTTATTTTTGAGTTACCCGAAAACAGCAGATATTGGATTCAAGAATTTCTACATTTCATTTCATTACACTTCACACCAAATCATACTTGTTTTCTGGCCAAGTTTCTTTTAACATTTAAGTAAAAGCCAATAAACAAATAGTAGAAAAATCCATTTACACTTTCAAAATTTGTTTTGTCATGAAGTCTGGAAAATATGTTAAACTTTGGAAAGAGATAAAACAGGGGTAACCAAGACTACATTTTTTTTTTTAAGTTAAAAAAAAAAAAAAAAAAAGCTTTTTTTGTGGAGTCCTTTAAATATCGCCTGGTCAGAAACCAAAATAATTGAAAACCACTAATTCCTCTGGCCAGAAAAACAAATAAATAAATAAAAATATTTAAAATATCAAAATAAATGGAAACCTAGAGAGGTTTCATTGAGGTAGTCTTTTTGCTGTTAGCTATAGAATAGAAGTATAGATTTTATGTTTCATATACTACTTGGAAGTAAAAGAAAGCTCTTGTGGCACAGTGAGTAAAGCATTCGGCTGCTAACCAGAAAGTCAGCTGTTCAAACTTACCAGCCGCTCCACAGGAAGAACATGAGGCAACCAATTTCTGTAAAGATTCACAGCCTTGGGGACCCAGTGGGGGTATCTGAGTAAGAATCAACTCGATGGCAGTGAGTTTTGGTTTATACTACTTTATAGTTATACTGAATTCACGAATTTCTAAATTGCATTTTTTTCTATTTTCATCTTTGATTAAAAAAAAAAAAATTCACTGTTGTCAAGTTGGATCCAATTCATAGTGATCTCTCCTTGGGTTTCCAAGGTGATAATTTAATAGTATGTTAATATGTCTCATACACCCTTAGCTTTATGACTATAATAATTTTGGAGAAATATTCCTATTTATTCTTTTCCCAAATTTTACTGTGGTAAAATATATGTAACAAAATTTGCCAATTTAACTATTTTTAAGTATAAATTCAGTGGCATTCATTACATTTATACTGTTGGCTATCTATCACCAGTATCTATTCCCAAATTTTTCATCACTCACAAAGAAACTCAGTTCCCATTAAGCAATAATTCTCCATTCTTCCTTCCCCTGAGCCCCTGGGGACCACAAATGTACTTTCAGTATTATGCATTTTATAGCTGTCTTTTTAAAACATATATCTTTAATGGTCCAAAGGAACATCTTTCTAACTGCACTCTTGTCTTTTCTGGCAGATGACATTTGATCCAGAAATATTCTTCAATGTTTTACTGCCACCGATTATATTCCATGCAGGATATAGTCTAAAGAAGGTAAACATACAACAACCAATTTCTTCTTTTATCATTAAATGGAGAATTTTGCTACTACAAATGAAGAAACAAGGAGTACTAGTGGTGCAGTAGTTAAGCATTGGGCTGCTAACCAAAACAGTTAGAGCCCATTAGCCGCTCCACAGAAGAAAGATGGGGCAATCTGCGTTCATAAGGATTTACAACCATGAAAACCTGGTAGGGCAGTTCTACTCTGTCCTACAGGGTCACAATGAGTCAGAATTGACTTGACAGTAGTGGGTTTAATGAAGATACAATTATTTTATGGATTTACCTTATTTTGTAAGAATATCATTATCTTGGATTATGTGATACAAATTCAAATCTGACTTTGTCCAATATACTGGACACTCACTACAGCCTTGAAATGTGGTGAGTTTGAATAAAGATGTGCTTTTCAGTGCAAAATATGCATTGGATTTTTAAGATGTAGTATTAAAAAAAGAATATAAAATATCTTGATAATATTTTGTACTGATTTCATGTTGAAATAATAATATTTTGGATATGTTGGGTTAAATAAAACAAAGTAATTTCATTTAACCTGTTTTTGTTTTGCTTTTTACTTATTTTAATGTGGCTCCTAGAAAGAAATTTAAATGGCTTATGTCTCACATATTTCTTTTGGACAATGCTATCTATGATTGTAACTAAAGAATTTTGCTTATAAATTAAAGTTGGGCTTAGTCATTGAAGTAAGCACACAAGAATGCATTTCTAATATTTTTGAAATTCCTTATATGCAAAGAGAAAACAGTACAGTTTTGCAGCTTCTGTCCACTTGCCTGACATTTACTTAGTTAGGCACAGTCTTGAGTGTGCACATTTCATAGACTAGTTACTCACATAACAGTTTGAGCTGCCATCCCCTAGGCCACACAATGAGGCAGTGGAATGTTTGTGTTTTGAGAGGCAGAGGTAGGAGGATTGCTTTTCTGCTGCCCATCTCCCACATTAGGCAGTTCCTGGAGTTTCCTCACTGTGGACCTTCCATCTGCAGCATCCAGACAGGTCGCTCACTACAGACCTTCATTATTTATGTGCTTCAGGCTCCCTCTTGCTGTCAGTTCTGGCTACTCAAATCCTACTTCAAAAACTGAAAGGGAGTTTCCCCATAGAAGCATTTAGAAAGATTTAGAAGGCTGGATTTATTCAGGTCATCCCTCTTCATTCCCCAGCCCCAGTTCTAAGTGGCATTCTGTGTCTGATTCATTAAAACAAAGTAGATTGTTGTAGGTTGTAAAGTCTTGTTGTTCATCACTTTCAGAAGACATACAAATCACAGATTCAATAAAAGTCAAAAAGCAACTTAAATCTTTTAGTGTAGTGTTTTAAGAAATGCTGAAGAGCTTTTATTTAGAACAAAACTTGAAAATCGTCCCTCTGTTAATTTCCTGCCTGGAAATCCCCCCAGTCCTTTCCTTCTCTCTAATCCAGTCAGTCCTGTCTCTCATCTCTCTCATCCCTACCCTTTCACCTTCCAGATGTATTTCTATTTCCTGTTTCTTTGAGTAACTTTTGTTCTTTGCAGTGTAAATCAGTAAAGTCTCTGTGCAATAAGGCCAGGAACTGAGACTCAAAAACAAAATTTGCGTAAGCAGTGAGGGAGGGGCTGTGAAAAGTCATACACTAGTTTTTATTTCTGGTTATACTATGAAAAATGCTGATGCACTATAACTTTTTTTTTTTTCTTTCTCTCCTCAGAAACACTTTTTTCAAAACCTAGGATCTATTTTAACATATGCCTTCTTGGGAACTGCCATTTCCTATATTGTTATAGGGTAAGTGATGCTTGGAGCTCAAGTATCAGGTGGAAGTGGGGTCAGTGATCTATGGGAGGAATCTCCCACTTCCTGGACTCACACTGGCTGAGTAAATTGTGTAATTTTTTTTCAGCATATCACTTCTTTATGGAATTTTCTAACTGTGTTCCTAGGCTTGTGTGTTTTCTGACAAACACAAGGTTTCAAATCAAAGTAAACTAGACTTGGATTGCTGGAGTTTCTATCTGGGTTTTGGACTTCTAATTTAGAGAATCTGGATAGCTTGGCTTGAGTTATGTGAAGCAAACTCCATTCTTTTTTGGCTTGAATAGTACAGATAAGCACACTGCATTCTTTTCCCATCTTCTTTGCAGGACCCTACATGTATTTGACAGGAGTACAATAGTAACCATATGCCAAGGGTTTTCTTTCTAAAGGAGAGTTTACAAGAGAACAATTTGAAACATACATCTCCAAATATCATCAGAATTGTTTAATGATGAGATGGCTTTTGGTCGATATACTGTAGAATGTAGGCTTTTTTTCCCCCTCTTTACATTCTATTGGTTATGCTGCTGAGCCCCACATCTAACTATACAGACTGTGGTTTGCAGCTCATCATAAGGCAAAATATGGAACAAAACAATGAAGTCAATGCAATTCACTTATAATCCTATCTGATATATTTAAGCTCCATTGCAAAAAAAAGGCCAGCTGTTGTATCTATGATGGTATAGATGTCTAAAATTGTCTGATGCAGCCAACTCTACCCTTGACTTTTCTTGCATACAGTTGTTATAACCCTAAAACAAGAAACCAAAGCTTAAATATGCAATATTCACTCTTCTAGCCTTTCTGTTATGAAGTGTTTAATATGTGTCACTGGAAGGCTAAGGTGGAATCAGGAGGTATATTTCCTTGTACCTGAAAGCAGGAGGATTTTTTATTGATGAAAGCTGTGAGCAACTCAGGCTACGTTGTATGAATGTCTAATGTACATATAATGAATACATTCTGAATAATGAAAATGTCCAGTATGGTTAAGGCAAGGAGAGAGTTAAGATTTTAGCACCTGAAAATGGAGGCTTGCAGGAGAGTAGACCTGGGAGTATCATCCAATCTGGACACCTAAGCAGTCTTTGAACTGTTTGTGACCTGAGACACAGTGTACTTGATCCTTCTCAAAGCATGTTCTGGAGAGAGCTTTTCTGTTTTGTGGGTATGCCATAGCTAAGTATTCAAATTTTAGAACTGACAAGGGGCCTAGAGATGTATCTATTTAAGCCTCTCATTCTACAGATGAAGAAAGAGATATATTGAAAGCTAATTAATTTGCTCAAGCTCACCCAGTGATGGAAAGAAGGTCTGTGGTCAGAACAGAATTCAGGTTTTTGACTCCTGATATAGGAGGTCCCACCTTCACTTCTTCTTCCTTTGGTAATTTCCTTTGAAGTCAGTTCCTATACAATGAGAGAACATTCTGACACATGTGAACTCTTCAACAAGTGTTCACTAATTTATAGCAAATATTTATGTTAGTAGCTCTATAACATGGGAAGTCTGAAAATGTTAATGGTTCCAGATTCTGTACATGTGTACAATGCTGTCAAATTATAGAGTGATCAGTTTTCATTATTACATGGTTTCCTGTGTATGACTTACTTTAAGTATACTTAGGTGTGTTCATTTTATTGCAATTTTTGCTGTCATGACAAATCTAAATTCTTTCTTGGATAGTTCAATATTCTGTAAACAAATCTCCAACTATATATCTCTAATCTATCTATTGTGTGTGTGTGCATGTGTGTGTGTGTATTATATACAATTAACTTGTTTTAAAATTTTTTAGTTCAGGGAATCTGGTGATTTTTGTTTAGTGGAGTTAAAAGAGTAAGAATCTCTTGTAGTTGACTTTAAGAGTGCAATCAATAATTTATAAAGAAGATGTTTTGAAGAAAAAGTGAAATTCTGGGAAAACATTTAGAATAATTTTTTGTTGTTTGAACTAGGCATAATCTGAACAACAAAAAATAGGTGCTTTCTAAATGTGGGTCATTAGATTCAAGTGCAGAAGAGATAGACAAGGATTTTAAGATCTTTTCTAGCAAGGCGAGGGAAATCATGGCAGAGTTTTACTTTGAGGATAACAAGGTCAGATTTATATTTTGCAAAGGTCATTCTGGTGGCAGAGTGAAGGAGAAATTTTAAAGTGAGGGAAAGTTGGCAGATAGGGGACTGCTTAAAAAGTAATCTCTATGGGCCAGGTTAGAAATGATGAAATTGTGGACTCAGGCAGTGACAGTAAAGGTGTATATAAAGGCATAAACTGAATGAAATTCTGGGAAAGAATAGGATCAACTAGGGAAAGTGTGTGGAGTAACAAGGGAGGGGACCTAGGGAACAGTCCTGCTTGCAGAAAATGAAGAGATACTCATGAAGGGTCTAAGAAGTATTGGACCCAGAAATGGGCGTGTGTTGTGGAAGTCAAAGGAAGAGCAAGAGAGAGAATCGACTGTGTCTCATACACAGGGGAGGGTCAATGGAACAGGAATTGTAGAATTCATAGGATTTAGCACCTAGGAGGTGAGAAGTGACTTCACACTTTGAGTGGAAATGAGAGAATATCGGGAAGCCCAGTTGATTTGGATTCTGTAAGATGAGAATTTATTTTTATGGTAAACATCTCTGGATACAATTTCAGAATTTCTGAAGGAAAGTCACATACTTAAATTCAGACCAAATTGACACTTTCATAACTTGGTAAGCCCAATATATGAGCTACACTCAAGCCTTAGAAAAGACCAGTATGTTTTTCTGACAAATTATATGGTAATAAGAACAACACTAAACATTTATTGAGTGCTTGATAGGTACCATACCTTTTTCTTAGTACTTTAAATGGATTATCATTTAATACTTAAAATAATCCTATTAAGTAGATACCATTATTGCCTTTATTTAACAGATTAGACAGCTGGGGTTTAAAAAGAATAACATAAAGGTAAGTATTAGAGGTGGAATTAGTAACTAACTGGTTGGCTCGACATCAGATTCTTAATGTCAAAAGGTTGCTTTACTTCTGTTTACCAAATATAAGCACTAAAAATAAAATGTCTGAATCAATCAATATTCACTAACATGACACATCCTTCTTATTGGCACAGTATGAGTTTTAACAGACCTCAGAGGTTTTGATTTGGCCCAAACAAACAAACAAACAAAAAACCACCTCACTGCCGTAGAGTCAAATCCCTCTCACAGCGAAACTTCTTTGGGTTTCCGAGGAGGTATCTATGAGTCAGGGCTGACTCGACGGCACATAACAACAACAACAACAACATTTTGAGGGAAGGAAGATTGGGCCATCTACTTCCATAGTGATACCACCTTGGAAATCCAAGGAGAGGTGGCTATGAGTCGGATCCCACTCGATGGTAGTGTGTTTGGTTTGGTATCTCATGGCTGACGGGTTTGAACTGCCAGCCTTCTGATTAGCAGTCAAATGCCTTTGATTTGGGGATTCTACCAAAAGGAATTCAATGTTAATTAAGGGGCAGAAAAGATGCCTTGGGTTTCTGCAGATATATTCATATTTGGGAAGAGGGATCCAGTACATCCAGTTAGATTGGTCTCTTTGGGAATAACTTCACAGAGGAAGCAGATCCTGGGTAGTCAGTGAATGGAGAGGGATGCAGCAGAAGGTATTTTTCATGCATTAGACCTGGTGGATGTGTGGAACATTATGCAAGTTTCCAGGCTGGAGAGTAGGTTTCACTGTGCAATGTGAAGGAACGGGGACTATGCTGGAAAGTCGGTTGATTGATGTCCACTAAGGTCAGGACAGAAATGTGGAGAATGTGAAGGCCATAGAGAACAATTATGGGATATGAATTAAATTCAGAGCTTCTGGGGTCTACAATTCATTGACAGCATTTTAGTCTCACAGGTGAAGTATAGTCTTCTGGAGGTAAAGACCATATGTAATCAGACTGCAGGCTGGTTTTAATTGCTTTATAGGAACTGAGGTAATTGTGTCTATTTGAATTAAATAGTTTTTAATTAAGTTTTATCAACTATATAATTCAGAAATTAGATGTAAACCATCTTTCATATTATACAGGAAAGTTTAACAATATTCATTCTGAAAATAAAATTAGAGAAACTTTTTTCAAGGATGGTTCTTATAGAATTCAACCACCCTTTACAACTCATCTCCCAATTTTATCACTTAAGAAATGTTAAATTAACAAAACCAGACTTGTTGCTATTGTACTGAATCTCACTCATGGCCATCCCATGTGTTACATTGTTGTTGTTGTTGTTGTTACGTGCCGTCGAGTCGGCCCCGACTCATATAGCGACCCCTCCTTGGGTTTCCGAGGCAGTATCACTACGGAAGTAGGATTGCCCAACCTTCCTTCCGAGGAGTGGCTGGTGGGTTTGAACCGCCAGTCGTCTGGTTAGCAGGCAAGTGTCTTAGCCACTATGCTACCAGAGCTCCCATGTGTTACATAGTAGAACTGAATACCGAAGATTTTCTTGGCTGTAATCTTTTATGCAAGCAGATTGTCGACCCTTTCTTCTGTGGCACAACTGGGTGGATTCAAAACAACTTTTTGGTTAATAATTGAGAAAAAACACTATATGCTACACAGGGATCCTATTACCTCTTAAAAAGACAGTAACCCATCGATTTGAAATAATTCTCTACTCTTCTCTTCCATCTTTGGGGACTATCTCTTTATCTTTGACACTTTGTCTTCATGCATATCTTCTACAATGACAACATACATATTGCTTACTGCTTGTTGTTGTTGTTATGTGCCTTCGAGTCGGACCTGACTCAGAGTGACCCCTCCTATCACTACGGAAGTACATTGCCCAACCTTCCTTCCAAGGAGTGGCTGGTGGGTTTGAACCACCAGTCTTCTGCTTAGCAGTCAAGTGTCTTCGGCACTATGCTACTAGAGTTCCCAATACTCACTGTAAGTATATGCATTTTGTCCTAAGAATAACTT